CGAGTGTGGAAGCCTAAATATTTGTCCCACCTGACGCTCGCCTTTGGGGTTAAAGATTTTTTTTTTTTTTTTTTTTTTCGCTCTCTCAGTCCTCTTTGTCCGGACACGTCTCTGCACCCAGAGGAACAGAATGTAACTTCTCAGAGGTGTGCGATGATGTCACTACCTCACACACCAACTGGGAGGTCAGAGCCTCAACTACAGGAAGTCAACCTCATTTACAGACTCCAGCTGTTTGGACACGTTTCATTGATTCTATGTGGAAAAATACTCATTGAAATTCTGCAGTGGGATTGATTGATACTATATGACAACACCGGTGGTACATGCTGCTACTTTTACCACCGCCTTGTTCAAACCTGTCTTCAGCTTCTCTCCGGAGCCATCTGTTTGTCTCGGCGGACCTGTGAGCGTGAGGTAATCAGGCCCAACGCCGTTGTCACTATTACGGTATTCATGTCAGAGATGGAGAATTTTAGTAGGACATGAATGAGTTTGTTAATTAATGCTTTTATTAAGCTGCTCTAGAAACCTACTCTCTACTGCCATACCCTGGTGAATTGAGTCTCATTCATTCCAGATGGATATAGTACCTGAGTTGTAGGTCAGATGAAAAAAAAAAACATTTCAGTTATCGTCGTTATTGTACAGGACATTTTAACCCTGTAAAGTTCTGACACATTTAAGAAAAAAACAGAAAATTCAAAGTTTTTGGAACTGAAAAACATTTTCCGCATATTTTTATTTTTTGACATAATGATATATTTTTACGTATATCATTTTATACATTGGGCAATATTTATTACACGTATTCTACTTTAGTATTAAGTAAGTGTTAATGTAAACTCAGTATAAACACAGACTGTATATGTTCCTTTATTTTTCTTACCCTGTTATACCGGGTTTTTTAATTTTATCCCTGATTCTAATTTAATTTTTTTTTTTTTAATTTTTCTGAAAATGTGTTTTATGAATTTGTACAGTACAAATAAAATAGGCTTGACTAAAATCTAGAGGTCATTTGGGGTCAAACCATAAGTTTATTATGGTAGAGAATGAAGTTTTTAAATAATAATAAAAAAAACCCAGAAAAATGTTTGGAATGTAAATTTAATTCCCATGTGCAGAAAAAACTACTATAACATCAACATAAATACGCAGTACTTCATTTTGAAGGAATGTGTTCTCAACTTTCTAAGTCAATTTATTTGAAAACAAATCATCTTTCCTTGTAAAATTGTAACTATTATAAAATGCACGTGTTTTATTTGACATTGAATTTCTTGTTTAAGAAAGAACTACTCTTTCAACATTTAGTTAGTTTTTTTAGGGGAGGAAATGAGGAACCATTTCTATTGCAAACCAAATGACACATTGTCGTTACACACTCGGATGGTGACAGGGATGGTAATTTGTGGTTTTTTATTTGTTATGATTTCTTAGAATTTCACTGCTGGATGTTGCAGAAATATAGGCCTGACGGAGGCGGCGTCTTCTTCACAGTCCAGCCAGGTTTGGAGGTTTGCTGCCAGCGAAGGCTGTTCTTTGATGTTTTTAACTAAGCCTGACGGGGAATGCTTTTGCCTGGGGCACTTTGAAAAGAGCATCATCTTCAAAGCCATAAGTTTCTGAGCCTGCACTTTGTAGCTGACAGATGAATAGATGTTGATATTACTCAACAAATTGTATTGTCTTGGGATCGTTTCACAAATCTCTCGGCTGAATCCTTTGCTTTGGCGTCGTTGCTTTTGATTAAGCTGCTAAATACTGTGCTCTGGTTTATTTCAGCCACATCTGTTTGATTGACTGCTTTTTAGTGTGTGAATGAGGGGATGTCCTCTCCGTCTTTCAAGGACAGTGTACGTATTTGTTCATCAAACGGCAACCCTGAGTCAGTATATAGGTGTGTGTTGTCGAGGCCCGTCACAGTGCGCTGGCTGGCAGCAGCTAATGTGATCACAGCCTCAATCACCAGCTCTGGGCGGGCGGCGTCGACGCGGAGTGAGCCATAATCTCCTCCAGAGTCTTGCTGCCAAATTGGCCCGATTTGTCAGCTAGTGGATCATCAGCCACTTCTCTGGGATGAATTTCAAAGGGCCCCTTTGCTTTTTGATGTGCAGCTTGGGATTTTTCATCCTGTAATCTGCAAGTCTGCATTACAATTGGCCGTGCCGGCTCCTGAAAAGGCCTGCGAGTGGCTTTTCCGCAGAGCAGCAGTGCTGTTAAATTCACTGATGGATCAGCGCGATTTTTCTGTCCCATTAGTCCTGAACTGGTTTAATAAAATGCCAACCTCGTCAGTTTCACTGTGTCCTCTGTTGGACGAATGAGCTGATTTGGACAAGGGCATCAGTTTGCGCCGACTTTCAAGGAATAAAATTGACATATCCTATTTTACATGAGTCTGAATTTCCATGCCTCTCTTCGAAGCCCATGCTGAAATTGCTCTGAAAAGAAACCCCCTTATCTGAAATTGAACATGTCACTGACTTTTCATTGGCTCGTAAAATACTGTCAGGGCAAAGAGAACATCCTCAGGCAGTTCATGTACTTATAGTATAGTACAGTATACGTAATTTTTCCAACAGTATAGATCGGGGTGCCCAATCAGTCGATCGGGATCTACCAGTCGATCGCGTAGCTAGATCGGGGTGCCCAATCAGTCGATCGTGTAGTGGAGGTCTGGTAGATCATGAGCAATTAAAATAAAAAAAAGAACATCTAAATACAAATATAATACTGTTGTGTGTAGTAGTGACCATGTACTGAAAAAAAATAATCACACTGTGTCATAGAGCTACATGTATTTAATCAGTAGCCCAGTGTAGGTAGATCACCTGAGCCTGGTCATTTGAACAGTAGCTCCCATACAAAAAAAACCCGTGGGAACTCTGGTTCTGGATTTTTTTTTTTACTTAAACATACATTTAATTTAATTTCCTCTTTTTGTTTTTTCTCCACAGGAGTGTATAAGGAGGGGGTCATGTGGCCATTTCTATGCATGCTTGAGTTCTAAAGAGGTGGGTTTACCCCCCCCGCCCTCCGTCACTTTTTCCTGTACCTTCTTCAGACAATCAATCTACTCATGAAATGAATGAAGAGC